GGGAGAGGTGGGAAGGGGAGGAGAGAGGGTGGGAAGGAGGGAGGAGGGGGAAGGGAAAGAAAAGAAAGGGAAGGGTGGGAAGGGGAGGCAAAGAGAGAAGGAAGAAAGGGCATGGGAAGGGGAAGATGGGTAGGGAAGGAAAAGGAAAAGGAAGGATGAGAGGAAGGGAAAAGAAAAGGAGAGGAGGGGGAAGGGAGATGAGAAGCAGGATAGGGGAGGGAAGGGAAGAAGGTATAGGGATGAGAGGAAGGGAGGGGAAAAGGAGGGGAAGGAATGAGAAATAGAGAGGAGGAGGAAAGAGATTGGGAAAAGAGGAAAGGAGTGGAGAGGACTGGAATGGAAAGAGGACGAAAAGGAAATGCAGGGAGATATAGGAGTGAAGAGAAAAGACAGAAAGAGAGGACCAGAATCTTTTTTTTCTCAAATCTTTTTATTTTTATTTTATTTTCTTATTTTTTTGCTCAGCGTCCTCCAAAACAATAACCCACCAACCAAAAACATCAGCAAAAACACCAACAAACCCCACAAAAATAAAGACAAACACCAAAAAAAAAAAAAGTAAACAAACCAATAACCCTTTCCCTCTCTCTCTCTCTCTCCCCACCCAACCAGGCTTGGGCCTAGCCAGCGCCGCCAAGGAAGACAAATACAAAGGCCAGTACATCGGCAGATTGTCAACGCTGCACCATGACGTCACCGGTGATGTGTACGCGGTCGACAACATCACCGTCTACATCGAGGGATTTTCGTACGACGGAGAAGCGCCGGGTAAGCGAGGCAGCGGCTTGGAGGCTGGTTTGTGAGGGATTACCAATGGGATTTTTATTTCGATGGATTTTAGATAGATGAATATCCTGTGCATTTTCATAAATGCAGGTGTATATACGTGCATGTATACATAATACATACGCACTTACACACTCATATGTACATATATATATATATATATATATATATATATATATATATATATATATATTATATATATATGTGTGTGTGTGTGTGTGTGTGTGTGTGTGTGTTGTGTGTGTGTGTGTGTGTGTGTGTGTTGTGTGTGTGCGCGTGTGTGTGTATATGTGTGTGTGTGTGTGCGTGGCGCGTGTGTATACATATTGTATGTATATATATAATATATATATATATATATATATATATATATATATATGTGTGGTGTGTGTGTGTGTGTGTGTGTGTGTGTGTGTGTGTGTGTGTGTGTGTGTGTGTGTGTGTGTGTGTGTGTGTGCGTGTATGTGTGTGTGTGTATGTGTCTATGTGTGTGTGTCTGCTCGTTTGTATATATAAGAGTATGAATATATATATGCGTGCGTATATACATGCGTGTGTATGTTTGTGTATGCATACCTATAGATAAATAGATATAATAATATATATATAATAATAATAATAATATAAATAATATAATATAGATAAATAGAATAGATAGATAGATACATGTGTGTGTATGTTTATGTATGCATACCTATAGATAAATAGATATAATAATATATATAATAATAATAATAATAATATATAATAATATAAACAATAATATAAAATAGATAGATAGAATAAATAGATAGATAGAATAAATAGATAGATAGAATGAATAGATAGATACACGTGCGTGCATGACGCTGACGCCGCCCCTCCCGCAGACGCCTTCTTCTTCGCCGGCAACCAGGCAGCGACCCCGTCCAACCGAGGCTTCATCATCCCCGACGAACGAGGGAGGTAATTCATTATCGGATTATTCTATCTCCTCTTTCTTTTTCTTGTTTGCTTTGATTCGTTATCCAGTTTTTCTATCTTGTTTTCTTTTTCTTTCTTTAATTCGTTATCCAGTTATTCTACTCCTTTTTCTTTCTTTCTTTAATTCATTATCTGATTATTCTATCATTTTTCTTTTTCTTTCTTTAATTCATTATCTGGTTATTCTATCTCATTTTTCTTTCTTTCCTTCTTTAATTCATTATCCAGTTATTCTATCTCCGTTTTCTTTTTCTTTCTTGCTTTAATTCATTATCTGGTTATTCTATCTCCTTTTTCTTTCTTTCTTTCTTTCTTTAATCAATTATCCTGTTATTCCATCTCCTTTTTCTTTCTTTCTTTCTTTAATCAATTATCCAGTTATTCCATCTCCTATTTCTTTTTCTTTCTTGCTTTAATTCATTATCCAGTTATTCTATCTCCTTTTTCTTTTTCTTTCTTTCTTTAATGCATTATCCGATTATTCTATCTCCTGTTTCTTTCTTTCTTTCTTTGATTACGTATTATTTCTAAAGAATTTGTTTTTTGTTTTTGTTTTGGCTATTTGCTTTCTTATTTTTTTGTGAAATTTTCTTTTAATGCTGTTTTTTTTTTAAGTTGATGTATGTGTGTATTCACTAATTGAACAAATCAGTTATATATTTTTATTTTGTATTTTATCTATCTAGTTTTTATTTTGTTTTATTTATCTTACTTAATTTTTTATTTATCTTTAATTTAATCTCATCCATTTTTTCAATCTAATTTGATTTGATATACAATTTATTTTTAATTTGATTCAATTTATTCAAGGTTCTTTATAATCACTTCATCATTTTTCCATCATTCTCTACCATTTCCATTTTTACTCCACCACTCCACCATTTTCCATATTTTCCCCATCGCTCTCCACCATTTCCCATCTTTCCTCCATCATTTTCCACCTTTTCTCCATCACTCTTCACCATCTTCCATCATTTCTCCATCACTCTTCACCATTTTCCATCTTTCCACCATCACTCTCCACCATTTCTCCATCACTCTTCACCATCTTCCATCATTTCCATCACATCCATCTTCTCCATCACTCTCCACCATTTTCCATCTTTCCTCCATCACTCTCCACCATTTCTCCATCACTCTTCACCATTTTCCATCTTTCCTCCACCACTCTCCACCATTTCTCCATCACTCACCATTTTCCATTCTTTCCTCCACCACTCTCCACCATTTCTCCGTCGCGCTCTAACCTCTCTCTCTCTCCATCTCTTCCCCTCCCCCCTCCCCCTCCCCCCCTCAGAACCGAAGTCCTGGGCCCTTACCGCAACAAGAACCTGGTGTTGAAGTTCCCGGTCACCAAGAAAGGTCAAAGGTCACTCAACGACGTCCAGTGGCTGTCCGTCTGGTGCAGGAAGTTCTCGGTGAGTGTGGTGGGGGTGATGATGGTGGGGGTGGGGGGTGGGGAGGGGGGTGTGGTGGGGTGGGAGGGGTGGGTTGGTGATGGGGGGGGGTTGTTGGTTGGTGTTGGTGGGGTTGGTGGGTTGTGGTGATGGCGGGGGGGGGATTGTTGGTGGCGGGGGGGGGTTGTGGGGTGGGGAGGGTGAAGGTGGTGGTGGTGATGGCGGGGGGGGGGGGTTGTGAAGGTGGTTGTTGGTGGTGATGGGAGGTGGGTTGATGGTGGTGAAGGTGGTGAGGTGGTTGGTGGTGGTGGTGTGATGGGATGGGTTGATGGTGTTTGGTTGGTGTTGGTGGTAGAGGTGGTGGTGGTGGGGGGGGGGGAGTATTTTGGTGAAGATGGTTGGTGTTTGGGTGATGCTGGTGAAAGTAGTGGTTGGTGTTGGTTGGTGGCGCTGGTGGTTCAATGTGGTGGGTGATGGTGATGATGGGGAATTTTAGTTGATGTTGGTTGGTGGTGAATGTGGTGAAAGTGTGGTGTTGCGTTTGGTGTCTGGTCGGTGGTGATGTGGTGCCTGGGTGGTGGTGGTGACTGGTGGGTGAATGTGGTGATGAGTGGTGGTGGTGTGGTGTCTGGTTGGTGGTGGTGACTGGTGGGTGAATGTGGTGATGAGTGGTGGGTGTGGTGGTGAAAGTGATGTGGTGGTAGTGGTTAAAGTAGTGGTGGTGGTGACTGTGGCGATAGCTAATGAGGTTGATGATGGTGATGGCACTAATGATTGTCGTGATGGTGATGATGTTAGTGAATGATGAGGATTATGGTGTTATTAATTATGCTAACAGTGGTGAAGATTGGTGTGATGTTGATACTGCTTATAATGGTGATGATAATGATTATGGTGATGATTATAAAATTGATTGTGAAAATGGTGGTGGGTGATGAGTGATTATGATAATAGTGATAAAAATGATCACGTTGATGGTGATGATGATTAAAATGATGATTGTGATGGTGATTATGATGATGAAGAAAGAAAGAGTAATGGTGATGGTGATAATGATTGTGATGGTGATGACAGTCATGATAATTATTGTGATGGTGATGATCATTTGGACGATTATGAGGATGAGGATGATGGAATAGTGATAATGATAATGGGATGGTGATAGTGATGGTGTGATGGTGGTGATAGTAATCATAGTGGCTTATGATGACGATAAATATGAAGAATTTAATAGTTTTATGATAATGATAATAGCATAAAAGTTAGGAAAGTAATGAAAATGACAGTAATGATAATGAGAAACACATGTTCGAATACTCAAAGCACTAATTGTTTATTAAGGTGTTATTTATCTATTTATTATCTTCAACTTCTATTAATTATACGCTAAGCCAATGTATATACGCGTGTGTGTTTTCGTACATAATTTCCTAATTTTACAACGGAAAATAGAAAGTCACAACTCGTCCGAACCTCCGCAGATCGACTTCGGCCACGTGAAGATTCCCAAGAACGTGGCGTGGCCGGAGCCGCAGGTCGCCGCCGGTCTCCAGAGTGACCGCCCCGTCGTCAGGTCGTCGGCCGTCAGGATCACGGACACGAACACCTTCAGGATCGATGACTTCACCTTCGACGGAACGGTGCAAGGTGCGGACAGCGGCTCCCTCGGCCTTGAAAATCTTGAACTGAAATTCTTTTTTTTTTAAGTTTTGCCATCATAAATCTGTACCTATGGCTATATTCTATATATTTACATATACATATGAATGGTAAAACACTCTACATATACATATGTATCCACACACACACAAGAACACACACACACATACACAAACACAAACCCACCCACACACACACACACACACACACACACAACACATACACACACACAAGCACACACACACACACACACACACAAAAGCACCCCCCCCACACACACACACACCCCAACCACACCCACACACCCACAACCACACCCACCCACACCCACATCATAAACTACACGCAGAGGAGTGCAATAACCTTTCCCGACCCTCGCTCAGACGCCATCTTCGTCATGGGCAGCGGCGACGCAGAGGCCAGCGGCGTGCAGGTCCTGGACGAGAAGGGCACGAAGCACGCCCTCAAGAAGTACAACAAGAAGACCCTGCTGCTCACCATCCCCCGCGAGGTCAGAGGGCAGCCCGTGCAGTACTTCGGCGTGTGGTCTCCCTCCAAGGGCATGCTGGCCTCCGTGACCTTTGACCCCGATGCGTACATCCCCCCTTCGGTCAAGTCGCTTGTTTAGGGTTTTAAGTTGAGGAGGTTGGAGTGGATGGGGAGGTTGAAGTGGAGGGAGGTTGGAGAGGTGGGGAAGGGGTGGATGGGGAGAGGAGAGATGGAGGAGGAGGTGCAGGCGGAGGAGGTAGTTGAGACTGAGGAAAAGGTGCAGGAGGAATGAGAAGAAGAGGAGGATTGGGAAGAAGAGCAGCAAGGGGAAGAAGAAAAAGAAGTGAAGAAAGAGAAAGAGGGTTAAAAAAAGAGATAATGAAAAAATTATATATTTTTTTGCTTATTTTTTTCTCTCAAGAATGAAAGATCTTTCAAATACACTTTCATTATACGTTGTTCCCACCACATTTGAATTACATTAGTTCTTAGTTGTATAGAGACCTTAATTTCATCTCAGTACCTACATTTTCTAATAAACGGGGAATTTAGTTTTGTCACCCCTTAAAACGATGTTCCTAACAAAGAAAATGGAATTTCAACCACTACTTTTTTGTACGTTAAATAAAAAAGGAAAAATATATCTAAAACATCAAAATATCTACTCAGTACACACAAACATCCTTATATATCAAAATTCACATAGTTAGCCATCCAAGGTATTCGAATAATCGTTTTGAACGAATGAAAAGCAAATATAAATATTCTACTTTAACTCTAAATCTTCATAAGTATTTTGTGTCACAAAGAAAAAAACATTCTAAAAGGAAGTACGTTTTTCAAAATAATCTTTGTTCGTAGTTTTGTCCAAGAATTAAATATAATGTGCGTTTTATAATGTTTTATAATGTGATTCGTACAAACACACAGGCGTTTTAACATATCAACATTTTATCTTCTTTTCGGAAATAGAAAAAGAGTGAACCATCATTTTTTTTATTAATGTTACATATTACACACAAAAGAAGACAGGGATGTTCATAAAAAAAGAAAAGGAATATATTTTCCGTTCTATGGAAAGGTCACGTTTTGAGACAGTGAATAAAAAAAAAAGAATCACAAATAACACACAAATGAAATATCCTACACCAGTTTGTGTGTATGTTCGGTTGTATGTTTTACAAATGTGTAGGTTTATGAACAAAAAATGTATGTGGAGCAGGCTTCATTTGAGTACATGTTAATAAACTTGTTGAGAAAAGACTTGTTTCCTTTGTATTTTTGTGTTGTTTTCCTTCCCAATTATTTCTTTCTTTTGTGGAGAACGAAAAAGAAAAATAATTTCTGACAAAATAGAAGAGGTATGGATGCCAAAGAAGAATTCTAGTGTAATAATTAAAATGAATGAGTAGGTATATCGAAAGTTATTTACATTTTTTTTTCGAAAATCGAAAAGATTGTCATTCCTTCTTACTTCCGCCCTTTTTAAAACAATGGAAATCTCGAGAATAAACAGCTTGCAGATTTATAGACACTGGCTAATAATACAAGAGCACTGAGGTTAATGGTCTTCGAGATAATTAGAATTAATAGATATGAATAATTGCACTGACGCTGCTATTGCCATAATGAGCATCAACAAAGGAATACTAGTGTATACCTGGATGTACATGCGTGTGACAATAATAAATAATCAATGTACCATGAGTTAAACATAAGGTTTGGTACATACAATAAACATCAACATACGGCTCTGTTGATGGTGATAAATAAAAATGTCAGTTAAAAGTAAAACCATTTATTTCTCAAAAATTGGGATTGGTAATTGGTATATAACGGGCAAAGGCATTTAATATGAGTTTAGGAATTCTAATCATAATCTAAGGTTAGAAACAACAAATATACACACAGATATACAAATACACAAAAAGTAGACAGACAGAGAGAGAGAGAGAGAAAGAGAGAGAGAGAGAGAGAGAGAGAGAGAGAGGAGAGAGAGAGAGAGAGAGAGAGAGAGAGAGAGAGAGAGAGAGAGAGAGAGAGAGAGAGAGAGAGAGAGAGAGAGAGAGAGAGGAGAGAGAGAGAGAGAGAGAGAGAGAGAGAGAGAGAGAGATGAAGAGAGAGGAGAGAGAGATTGGACTATATATATATATATTATTATATTATATATGATATATATATATATATAGTATATATATTTGTGTGT